CCAAAAAGGATCGCAGTGTTGACAACCCCCAAGTCATACTCCCTATAAGCCCTCTATGTGGGGGTTTCCCAAAATTAGGGGTACCTTCTTGGGGGTCCCCATAATAAGGATTATAGTATTTTGGGGTACATATTCGGTCCCCCTATCTAAGGAAGCTACCACTTCTAGACTTAAAGCCCTAAACCCTAAACCCTAAACCCAGCTAAGCAGCTATGCCCGCGGATCACCTTCTCTTCAAGTCCATAGATCGGGGTGTCCCTGCTGAGACCTTCCTCGTCAAGAGACTTTCTCAGAAACCCTAAGTTCAGGGTTTAGGGTCTAGGGTTCAGGGTCACAATTTCAACAAGGATTTCGGGTTCCGGGTCTAAGCTTCAAGGGCTGAGTCGTAGAAAAAAATCAAAGGGATAGCAGGCTTAAGTGCCGCTTCAGCGGGGCCTTTTGAATCTAGCCCTAGTTCTCCAACTCACAAACCGCGCTAGACTACCTGCGAGCCCTCTAGGTATACTGCATTTGAGCTGTGGTCTGAACTCATAGTATCCCCCTTAATAACCCTTGTAATGCTCCCCTGTATAATCCCCTGTATAAACCTCTTTGAGGAAATTAAGGTGGTTCAAGACTAGGGGTATGGCTACTGGCCCTACCATGGACCCATCTTCTGCGGTCTCCATGTACATTATTAGGGTAGGATGTGCTGCTGGCCGAATGGAGCTCGATGAAGACTGTACAGCAGACGTTGGTCCATACTTTGTCATCAGTGTGAATAAGGGCAAAAATAAACCATGATGGTAATTCTAGAGGTCTTAACAGGAAGAACTGCAAACCAAATCATTACAATGCTAACCCTGACGGCAACAAGAAGAAGCAGAATATCAATTTCACTGTAAGTTCTACACCCTGAATCTGGAACCCCAAGCCCTGAGCCCTGAGATCAGGTTGGCCTTCTCAACCAGGGAGATGAACCTCAGCTCATCCGAGGTTTAGCTTGGGCAGCGTACGGGTCCTTTTCTGACATGATATAGGGGTTGCTTGGAGAAGCTGCCACGTGGGTTCAGGGTCGTCTGCTGCTTACTTCCTCATACGTAATTGAACTGCTGGGAACTGAGGGGTGGAAATGAAAATGGAACCTAAAAGGTGCTGTTGTCAAGCTAGGGGTGCAGTAGAGTGTTACAGGGACATGAGCATTGCAGGGGTCCCCTCACTGCAGATTCCATAGGATCTTTCAAAAAACTCACATAAAGGCTCTTCTGATACCCTGTAAGTGTCCACACAGCCATTCTCCCATTGCCAACTTAGCATGGGTGGTTCAGAGGATGTGGGTTTGCAGGCGGTAAGGGAACCGGTCAGATCAACGCAGAACACCAACCTGCAATGAGGGCCTCTTGCGGTAAGTTTCCATATGAGCTATAGTCTA